TCGGCTTCGCGCAGCACGGCTCACTGGTGTCTTCTGCTGTACCGAAGGATCCTGGTGAACTACTCACAGCAAATCTCAGACTGGGGAGCAAGCCTCTCAGACAGGTGTGTGTTTAAAACCGTGGACATAACGAACAGTCCAAATCTGTCACTTTCTTGGGACGGACGTGACAAGATCAACCTTTACCTGACTGAAACTCTTCAAATAAGCCTCTGCAGATGATCTGTTAGCTGTTTGACTCTTTTAATGATGTTTGATATGAAAGGAAGGAGATTGGCCTATAATTAGCTAAGACTGCTGGGTCTAGAGATGCTTTTTGAGTAAAGGTGTAACTACAGCCAGCTTGAAGGCCTGTGGTACATAGCTGATTATTAGAGATAGGTTGATCATATTTAAGGTTGAAGCATTAATTAATGGCAGTTTTGTAGGAATGGGGTCTAAAAGACACGGTGATGGTTTGGAGGAAGTAATTATTGAATTACTGAGTAACTAATTACCAGCTCGAGACCATTACACATAGAGACAGACAGAATCACACACTAGGCTCCATTCTAGCCTAATGTGGTGGATAGAAGTCTTTGAGTTATAGATGCACTTTCATTCTAAACCCTTGCAGGCCCCTGCTTTGGCATCCTTCCCCTCCAGTGTTTTTGCTGGCACTAAGATCTCTCCTGAAGCTCTGGTACAGACACTCAAGTTTGATGAAGCTCCAGATCTGCCCACACCTGTCACAAAAGGTAAGAGACTATTATATTAGGTATTTGATTATTGTATTATGACCCACAGAGGTCAGTGAAGCAAATTAAGGTATCAACTGTAAAGACGGTATAAGTGTGGCTCAGGTCTAAAGCTGCACTGAAGCACACAAAGCTCTGTGTCCTTTGCTTCTGTGCCTGAGTCTTAACCTACATGTAAATAATTCAGAAAATGTATTCCTAATTGGGTAAACTGCTGCAGTTAAATGAAAACGATTCATTATGTATTTATATCAGTGACATTTGTAAGATGTCTGATAGGGCTGGGCGATATGGCCTA